CATTGCGCCGAGTTTGCGGATGCCGGCTAAGGCTAAGCGCATAAAGGCTGCCCGAAAATAAAACGATCCCGGCCGTCATCAGCCCGCCGGCCCAAGAAATCAGCAGACCATGCTCCAGCTGGCTGCCAAGTGTTCCCAAGAACAGCAGACCCAGTCCATGAGCTATTTGGTATTGCATTGCTTTCTCCAAATTGATCCCAAAACTTTTCGCCAACTCCTTCACGTCGCTGTAAGGGGCCTCTCTCTTCGAAATCGGCTACTGTGGAATGGCCTGTCCTCAGTAGCCGTTGGTTACCCTCGAGAGCATCACTGGAAGCGAGGAATATAGCTGCGATTTCAGCAATGAAGTAAGAAAAACGCATGAAGTAGCTGAATCGATTGAAAGGCTGGGAGGTTGGGAGCAAATTGAGCACTGAGAGTAAAGTACTGTTCCTACAATCTTTCATTCGTTACTGTATTGCTGATGATTGCGGTACACAATCCCTTTTCAACGTCGGCAACACGATTAGTACCATTTATTCAAGCTATTAAAAATGGTAAAACTAATCGAATTAATGTTTTCCAAAAATTAGACTGTTAATTCTGGTTTTGGATAATCTCAGTTAATAATACGAGATCAGTCTCAGACAAATACGAGTGCTACCATTTGTCCGACACAGACATTGAACAAGGCGGGCCTGTTAAGCCAGTTTAAGCAGATACGAAGGTACAAAAATATCGTCCCATGTAAAACGTCGGCAAGTAACGCTCAGTTCAACAGCTGTATTTTGGTTTGAATAGCCTGAATGTATTATTAAAGGAGCTGGATAAAGGCACCAAACAGGGCTAGGGTGTAAAAGGAGGGGTGGTACAGCCTCTCAGCAGGGAATGGCAAATACAATTTGCAATTGTATTGTATGTGGTAACCTCTCCGTAATATGTATGGCAATACGAGACCTGACAATAGCTGTTATTGCAAGTATTAAAAAGCATTGAACAAGAGAGCTGTACTACATCACCTGTCCTTCATCTTCGCCGGAACAGCCAAGAAGAGTCGCACTGTTCCACATATCATCGTTAGCGTGTAAAAACATCATCCGCTCAAAGTTCGCCGGGAGAGTTGAGGACCGCAGCGAGCTCAGTACCAGCTTGCACTCAGAGAATAGACGCTCACAAGCGTTGCTGGTGGGGGGAGTGTGATGCAGCAGCTCGTCGTACTGGATCGCAACACGAGGCGTACAGCGCTGCTTCTTGGCCTGTCGAAGAATGGTGGATGCAAAGTCGACACGGGTACATGGGGCAGGGGTAGATTCTCCCGGCTTAACCACAAATTTCTCCACTGCATGCTGCTCACTGGAAGATAGCGGGAGATCGTTCTGAAGCTTAACAATTGCATCTTCAAACTCCGGTGAGTGAATGATATTCGCGCTTGGACTGAGATATTCACCCATGACCGGGTACTTGGCGGTGCACGCGTCAAAAAGAAGGCGAACGTCCGCCATGCTACATTTATCGGCTTGTAGCCTGACGCAGACGCTGTCCAGCCCCTTAAGCTTCTCCACAGCGGCGGAAACGCGGCGGTGGGCATTGCCACGAGGCACATACTCCTCCACAGCACTAACAGCGAGGATAGCGTCTCGAATCTTGATGTAGCGCTCGAGCATTGCAAAAGTCGATGACCACCTCGTGACGTTCGCCTTGACAGGCCTGAGGTGAGTTACCCTCGCAAGGGCTGCAGCGTTGTTTGATTGGCGTAGCGAAGCACCAAAACTTGGATAATATCAATCTGATTCTGATAATCCTCCAAAAAGCGATTGACTGCAAGGTTGAAGCGATGGCTGGAACAGCCAATCAGCGGGACGCCGATTTTGTTTGCGAGGCACTGATTGGTCGAACAGCTGTCGCCTACAAGAAACCGCACCATTTCCCATACACACACAAAATGGACTCAATGTGTTCACAGTGTGCATCGGCTGTCTGGCTTCCGTCCATTGAGGACAGGGATTTGAGCCGCTGGTATCGCGCTCCATTCGCCACGTACACGGCAAATATGCACAGGAAGTGTAACGAAGTACACGTCCAGCCGTCGAACATCAGGGCAAATGACTCGCCCATTTCAGATGCGATTGCCTGGCCAACTTTGCCGGCTACAAAGCGCATGTAGAGCTTCATTGTCTTGACAGTTGTCGGCTTCATCTTCACCACGTCGCGTGCTAGCTTGTTCTCTACCTCCGTGATCGGCAGGTTCCGCTGGATAATCCACCTCATCCACAAGTAGATGGTTAGCGTCGCATCGTCGACAAATCCGAACGTGTCAATCGTTGCGGTAGATGCGGCCTGAAGCTCGGCATACTCCTCCACGTAGCCGGCGTGCTTGGTGCCAAGGTGGCCAAGAAGGTTACTATAGCCCGTACCAGCGCTTTGTTTGCGGCTACACCCGCACTTCTTGCATTCGAATAGACCTTCGCCGAGGTCCACGTAGAAAAAACTACAGAGCTGGCGCGACGTCATGAGGTGGTGGTGATGGGGTTGTCTGGTGCTTGGTGGGCGAATTTGGGAATAAGCTTCGTACTGAAGCTGAGGAGCACAATACTGACTAGAGGCCGATGAGGAATGGTTGGTGTGTGACGGTCAGCGCTCAAACGGTTGGACACGGTACAATACAATTGTACTATACAACATTTTGTATTAAACTGAAATGTGACAGTAGCAATAATATGTTATTCCGTCAATATAATATCAATAGTATTGATATTATATTATTTCCCCATGCCCTGGATGGTGGGTATGGCAATGGAAATGGAGACTACCCGGACTACTACTCTTCTTACGGCTACCCCAGTTATTGCGGCTACCGCTACTCTAGGCTAACGGGTTACCCCCGGCTTTATTTTGGGTTAAGAGAAATGGCCCCCCAACCCAGTGTTTGCGTGTCTATTGGCGGGTGGAAAAAAAATTCGCCCATGTGCAAAGTTCCAAAAAAGTTTGGCCAATGCAATCTGACGCAAGTCCAGTTCCGTTCCAAAGAGAAAACCAAGAAGGATCGAAGGCATCGAGGAGGCCAAGTCGGACGCCACGACAGTCGAGGACAAGTAAAATCAAACTGAATGCTCGAGAAAAGTAGAAAAACGTAGTAAGCCGGCGTTGGACTGTGTAGCGTAGAAAATTGAAGTGGGCAGCTGTAAGGAATGCAACGCCAATGGATGTGATCCCATTTGCTCTGTTGAAGTGATATCAGTCTCCAAATTATTAGTTGCTAAGGTCGTTTGCGATGTGGATCAATGCTCCCATTGCAGCAGCGGTAGAGTAGAATCTTATCATATAGAGTAGAAACCAAGAATTACAGCACGCGGACGTGAAATCACTGTCAATCTGCGTGGGTTTGCATATGAATCCTTA